GCTCTTCCCCAGTTAAATGCCAACATACCCTGCCCAGCCACCAAGTCTCTGGAGGAGGCCAGGTGCCCATGGCCCATCCTTACCCGGTGACGGAGTCGCTTGATGTGGCGGAGCCTGGCAATCCACTTGGAGGGGTAGATGTCAGTGGGGTTGGAGCGGCTGTGGTGTACCTGCGAGGCCATCTGGGGTGGGCAGGGTGGGCAGGGCAGGGCAGTGAGCCCTCTATGGGTGGAACCTATGGCCTGTCCCACCCACCCTAGATACCATCTCTGCTCACATTTGCATGCAGGGCCATCTGGCGGGCCACGAAGGGCAGGTTGCGGTCAGACACGATCTTGGCTACACTGGTATCCACGAGGCCCTCCATGTCTGGGAGAACACAGCACTCATGTGAGGCTCAGGACCCCGAGGGCCTTCCCACCCAGCCCCAGGCCTCACCTTTCCTGCACTGCAGCGACACCAGGTTGCACTCGTAGTCCAGGGGGGTGATAATCACATGGACAAAGTTGAACTGGCCCTGCCCGGACAAAAGCAGGGTCATCCCAGCACCAAAGGCCATTTTCTGCCACTTCCTCATGAGGGCAGCAGCTCATTGGTGTTAAGACACTTGCTAACCCCACAAGTGTGCATGTTAACCACCACCTTTGCGCCCACATTTACTCCTACCCAGCTAGGGGTCGGGGCTGCCATCATCTCTCCCCCTAACTGCCTTACTATTAAAACCCCACCTACTCCACACCTGGATCCCAGCACCTGAATTTGCCAAAGTTTAAATTCATAGTCACGACCTCAGCCACAGAGCTCCGCCTCCACCAGTACAAACATACATTATCTGGTGCACCTACTGACACCTGCCTCACTGTCAAATGAGAGCAGCATGTGGAGCTCTGCAGGCTCTGATGCCATGCACAAGTTGACAGCTCCCAAGAGCCTAACTCGCACGTCTAAGTCCTTGTTCACCTTCCAGTGACAGCACACCCGAGCACCCCACCTCAGGAAGCAGCTTCACCAACCACCACTCAGGCCCCTCTCTGGTTTCCCAGCTCTGCAGCACAAGACTCTGGCCTTCCCACTGGGGTCCACCAGGTTCTCTGCTCAGAGGTGTGTGTCCAGTGACCCCCTCTGAGAGCCAGCACCTCAGCCGCCTGAGCTGTGCCAGGCTCCCTGCCCTGCTCTCCCTCATGTCCTCCACATCCCCGCCCTGTGACAAGTCGCCTGGATGGAGCCCACCTCTTCCCTGCAGGACCTCAAACCCATGAGTCCTTGTCAAGAATGGAGGCGAATATCAGGGCCTACACCCACCCTCCACCTCTGTACAATGATACAAGGAGATACCAAGGGAGAAGAGCTCACCGCTATGAGCACACTAAGGACTGCGAGCCACGCACCCCGTGAAGTACAGGTGCACACTGTTATTCCCCCGAAACCATAGTAGCGGGTGCCCAGGCTCCATGAGGAAACTGACAGGGCTGTCATCCACATTACAGAGAAGGACACAGGCTCTGAAGGGAAGCCCACCCACTCAACTGGCAGTGGGAGTCAATAAAGTGGGTCAGTGCTCCCGCTTGTCACCATGTTGACCCCAGTGGTGCTCACTGCTTCCACTCAATACGCATCAGTGGGCACTTTTCCAGAGACACGCAGCCTCCGGCCAAGGTGTACAGAGACCCAGATCTATCCCTGCCCTGAGGGCCCCTTGCTCACTTTGATGGTACCCAGTTTGAAGTCCTCGCCAGAATCGTTGTAGACAATGGACACAAAATCATTGCCCAGGTGGCGCTTCTTGTCACAGCGGTGCTTGTCCACGTCCTTGGTGGGCATCAGGGTAGCGATGTGAAAGACAGCTGTGAGGTGGAAAGGGGCTGAGATGAGCAGGCCCGGCACTGCCGAGGAAGGGTGCTAGCAAGGGCTTCTTGGGCTGGAGTGGTGTGGCCAAGGTCAGGGGGCAGTAGGCACTCTGTGCCTCTCGCCAGGGGCACCTCATTTTCTCCAGAGGCTCCGAGTGCCTGTAGGAGCTACATCCTCTGGTGCCAAGCTAGCAGCACTTGGCTCCCCGAAGGCAGAACTTCTTGAAGCACAGCTACCAGCTCAATCACTGCCTCAGTACCCAGGCTGGTGAACTTGCGACATTGGACACCTCCACTGCTCCCCTGAGGGTAGGTCAGTAGGAATGGGGTTGGGGAGGGCACGTGCCACAGGAGGGCATATGCCACGGGAAGACATGCACCTTGCATGATGTCATCGTGCCAGCAGTAGGTGAACTGGCCATCCTCGCCGCACACATCCAGGCCACCCAGGTACACTTTATCTGGCTGGCAGTCCTTAAGCTCAATGAGCTTGCCCAGGCCTGTCAGGAATTCCGTATACCTATAGGAGCCATGCTCATTGGATAGGATGGCGAGCTCACTGTTGCTCTGTGGAGAGAAAGACTATGGTGGCACCTCACCCAGGCCAATCTCTTCCACACCCTGCCCCTCCTCAAACTCCCAAGAGCCCCGAGGACTTGTTGCTGCTGGGGGCCAGGTGGCTAGGGAGGGATTACTGGTGTGGCTTAGCAGAGAGCCCTGCTTCTATTGTCAATCTGGACTTGGTGCAAGGCAACTTCATTCCAGCAGTTGCCCAGGTGACGCCCTTGACTTCCTCTTTCTCTCATGATTAGTCTGCCAGCAAATTTGGCCGCTCAATCTTTGAAATATACCCAGAATCCTAGCATTCCTCAGCACCCCACTGACCCACTCCTCAGACCCACCCCTCTCATTTGGACTGTCACCACAATTCCACCAGTTCTCTACATGGCAGCCAGATAGATGCTTTTTGAGACTTCGGTTGAGTCATGTCAAACCCTTGGCTCAGAATCATCCAAAGCCCTCCCATACCACTAGAAACAAAAGCATAGCCTTACGGAGGCCTACAAGTCTGTCCCTGATTGGCACGTCCCCATTACTTCTCTACCCACTGCCCAAAGCGCACTCTGCACTGGCCCTTGTGCACAAAAGGTGTGCCCCTCAGGGCCTTTGCACTGGCTGTTCCCACACAGGATACTCCTAAACACACAAAGGCACCACCCTCACTTCCATCACATCTCTGCTCAGTGTCACCTCCCTTGACCACTGATGTGAACAGCACCCTGCTCACACCAGCAGTTTTGTGGGACCTGCCACCTTCCCTTCCCCTCCACAGTCCTCAGCACTCTCTGGTGTACATGTGCTCAAACACTGACCTGTCATTCTCACTCCTGTGTCCTGGCACCAGAATAGTACCTGGCACGGAGCTCAATAACCACTCGATGTTCTAGCAGACTATGCAGTGACTGAGCTCTGTGAAGGATGAGGGCCCTGATCCCCAAACCCCACCCTGGGCAGGGAGGCCACCCAGTTCTTGCCCGGCACCTAGGCTGGCCCCTACCATCCCAGCAGCCTCACCTGGCCTTCTCCCACGTACAGGACGGCAATCTTGTGCGTGTCGTATGACGGGATCTGGTCAAGGAGCTGCACTGACCGTTCGAAGGACTGTAGCCACAAAGCCTGCCTGAGTCCAGGGCACAGGCTATCCCCTGCCACCAGCCCTTCCTGGCCAGCCTTAGCCAGATGCCTGCCCAGGGGAGGGCTCTCCCCACCCAGGTAGATTACTGCGGGATGCCACAGGTAGCCGAAGCTGTAGCCCTCTGCAAGCCTTTGGGGCCACCATTACCCAAAGCTGGGCATCCCACTGTGCCCACCCCAGGCTCTAGGGGGCCCCTACAGGGGAAAGAAGGCATGCCCACCTCATTGGGCAAAAGGATTGGCTTGTTGGACTCGTCACCAAAGAAAGGAGAATGATAGAGCTGCAGGAACACGAAGCTGCAGAGGAAGAGATGGTGAGAGCTGGGCCTGGCACTGTAAGCCCCGGATCGGGGTCATAGCCAGTGTGGTCACAGCCCATACAGAGAATAGGGCCTTTGCCCCATCACTGAAGGACTGCTCTCTCCTGTAGCTCTGACCAGCTCCAAGGCAAAGGACATGCAGACCTGTATCCAATCCTGCTCTGCCCAGGGACCCTTCGGTGCCACATCCCCATGGGAGTGTCCAGGAACTCCAGCAAGAAAGGTGAGGCTCACCTGGGGTTGATGCCTGGTACTTTCTCAGCATTGGAGGCCCCAGCTCTGCTCTTGAAGGAATCCCTCTCCACCCTCTTGCCCCTGCGTGACGGGGCTGAATCAGAAATAGTGTAGCCTCGGGGCCGCAGGCCACTGGGGGAGCGGGGACAGTTGGAAGGCAAAGGACCCTCGGGCTGGGCAGAGCCCCGGCTGTCTTCGCCTGGGGCTGACCAAGCAGCACCTTCTCCGTCTAGGATCCCTGACTGTGACCGGGCCTTGGCCTCAGGGCTCAACCGACCAACATCAGCCTTGTCCCCAGGGTCCCCAAGAATGTCCTGCAGGGTCTGCAGTTCTGGTGAGGAGCTGGACTTGCTCAGGGGCTGCGAGGGCTGGAAGGAGAGGTCCACAGAGGGCCGGGCTGCCTTGC